TGCAAAAAAATCGTATTACAGTGGTTTATGTAAGAGAATATAATTCCTTAAGTGACTTGTGTTTACTGCAACAATTGTTATAATCCTATTGTATATGTTCTTATTGATTGTGTTTCATGGGTTTATTTTGAGGAAATTTTAAATTCACGGGAACAAACATTTAAGAAAAATAATAGATCAGTACTAAATACCGGTATAGAAACTTCCTCCACTTCTTTCTTTATTTTCAAAGAAAAAGGCATGAAACAGCCCTTCCTTTTTGCTCGAGATGATTATTGACAGGCCACGTAATTGTCATTTTAACGTTATTGTATTATAGACCATTATAATTTTACATTAGTGTATCGCTCTTTCGCTTATCCTTTGCCTTTTTAATCAATGATTATATAATCAACCTCCGGCTGAATTTTAGCTCAACTCTTCACGCTTGCTGTTTTAAAACGAATAATTATTTGGATGAATATAATCAACATGTATATCATCTCTCTTGAGAAACAAAATTGTAAATTTTACGTTCATCATTAATTTTAAGAGCTACCTCTGGGTACATGGTGTTTGAAGAATTCAAACTGTTTTCGTTTGGATTCCATTCGTTATATAAACATGGCGAATACAATGACGGGCTGCAATAAAGATTGTTTTTCGATTTTCCTGTACATTTCCAAATACTTATTTGACATTTGCGTACTATTTTTAGATTTATTTAGTCTTTAGTAAAATTTGTTGGGTTTAACTGAGTTCAAGGTATGATCGTTCATATGTTTTATAGGATCATTGGTGATTTAGTTATCATCAACAGTGTATGAGTCATCAGTGCTCAAGACCCATTACATATCATGACACACAGATCCCGCAAACTAAAATCGAGAACATAACAAAACATCTGAAAGATATTTTTTAATCCCACCTGTCCGAATTTCTGAAAAATTAGGATTTCAAATCTCTTTCTGCTTACAAATGTTTTGAAATTGCTAGTAATCATCTCCATAATACAAACTGTTGATATTGTTGCGTCATCGAGATCACATGACTAGAGTGACGCCACGTTTCTAGAACTATCCCGTATCTTGGCGAATGCTCTAGTATTTGCTAGATATAGGGTAGTTTGGTATATATAAGAGGGGGAAAACGTGACGCGGGAAGGTATTGTAATGTGTGTATAGACAGTGAGTAATTGAACTGCAGTCAGAGAGCACGAGAGACGTTACAGCGTTTGTTTAGCGCGATTGTTGAAGTTGAGTGTATCGGTAAAGTTATATTCGGAAAGAATAAACCAGTTTTATTAAGTAAAGACTTGTGTCGTTAAAATTTCGTCGGAACGAAGTTACGGAAAAATCAATTAACAAACGGAGACGTAACAATATTCTAGGCATTATACTACTGAAATTAGCTGTTGAAACTTAGTGAATTAAAAACAAATATATAGATTAATATATATATACTGCAGGAACTTTGTGTCTTTCTTCTAAATAACTTAGGGCCTTACCACCATTGATTTCTCAAGCCAATCATCCTAACTGTTGAGAGTTGTCTCTCACTGCCTGCTGCATTGACTAGTAGGTCATCACCTCTTCCCCTGAATCTTCATAACAGTCCGAGAAGGTTATTTGTTCCTTCTTAGTGCTCTCTCCATTCCTTACAGCTTTGACTTATTCACCCTCCATTTCCTGATCAAACATTCTACAGAGGCACATTAATAACATACAGCTTCAACTTATTGGCATGTTTAACATGCTTTTGCATGCCATGAAGCAAAAAATCATGCAGTTCAAGAGATTAAGCTGCTGTAGAATGAGATAATGTCCAATCCAGCCAGATCAGAGTGTTTTATGTGTTGATGGACTATAACAGATCCACACCCAGTTTCCTCAGTCAAAGTAATATTCTTTCACTAAATTGACCTATGTTCTTTCCTGTTTTTTGGCCTTTTTTCTCAGATGATGACATGTAAATTTGTACACATCAATTAAAGGTGGATTGTAATCACTTCATATTCAGCAGCTGACAGGGTAGTACATGAGATTTAGTGAAAGTATAACTTCATGTGAAAACATTAGCATGTTGAAGAACTGTTGCTTTATTGCATAGTATGTTATTGTTACATGTGGCAGATGATCGATCACCCAGTCATTTCAGTACCAGCTTACAAATTACACATTTTTACAGTTTGAACAAGCAGTTCGGAAACCACCAGAGTGAAGATAATAAGATGAAGTAGGAGTCTTCTCCACAATCAGTATCTTACATGATGCAGCAAACAGTTGACTGTTGAAGTCTGATTCACGAACAATGTTTTTATACTCTTGTGCTACAAATGTGTTGGCAACCATCTGAGTCAACATATCAACTACCAACAAGATGTAATGAGGAATGTTGTCAGTTTCAAGAAAGAATCTAGTGATAGCCAGTGCTATTCTCTGAAATGGAGAACCTAAAACTTGTACCACTAGAAACCAGGTGGGCAGAGCACAGGTAAACCATTGTGTAGCTTTGTGCTTAACTACAAACAAACCTAAAACTTGTTCACAGTTTTTCTTTTGTAGACAATTCTCCCTCTGAGACACAAAGGAGGTATGATGTTTACATCATACCTCTATATGTCTGCAGGAATGCATTCAGCAAAATCATCTTCCCACGGTGGCTCAAGTGAGATACATCAATAATCCATCAAGTAAGGAATTTTATAACTATCTGAAATAAAAGATGCATCATAGGTTGTGTACCACATTTGTACAGAATAGTGATGGTATAGCACTCCCACCAGTACCTCCAATTAATCAAACAATTTCCACAGATTATGTGTTTTTGTATATGTTCACCAATCTGTGACGGTCAAGCTTCACCTTGCTGCATGGCAAGCAGTATCCAAGATAAGTTTTGGGTTATTTACCTGGTTTTCTTGTAGCTATTCTCTTGTTGCATTTGGTATTTATTCATCAGTTGAATGTTTGCCATTTGTGTGGTTATTTAGGTTCCACAGCAGTAATATATCGAGAATTTGTTATCCAACGTGCAATTATACCTTCTGGTTCTCTAAAGTTCACCAATTACTTCAATGACGAGTAATCTACTCAAGCTTTAATTCTTGGCTACACAAATAGTAGCCAAAATTCTTGAAAATACTACTGGTACAGCAAGCAGTTCTTTGTTCATGAGATAGTAACAGCATTCAACGGATTTTAGCATGCAGCTTAAGTAGGCTACTATAATGTTACGTCTCTGTATGTTTGTTTGTTAATTTTTCTGCGATACAAGTCCTTTCTTAAATAAAACTTGTTTATTCTTCCTCAATACAACTTTGCAATACACTTAATTTTCACAGTTACACACACTGTAGTTCACAACAATTCACTCACTTTCTACCGCGCTTGACTCAATTGTCCGTCTCTATCTCCGCCTTTCAGCAACTATAGTTCCGATCTCTGTATCTGCTATCCTCGGTTCCCATCGACTGTAACTGCTGTCCTTGGTTCCCCACTCTCTCTCTTTCTCTCTCTGTCTAGCGCACTTATATACGATAATACCGCCTCTTCTAGAATCTTCTAGGCTCTCAACACGTGCTACCAGCGTCACTTGACTTCCGCTGTTGTAACACACTAGCGTTTATCACAAATCTTCTAGAATACTCGTCACGTGACCCTTGCTGTCGTAACAATACTTTCCACACTATCCTGTTCCATCACTTCTCCAATTACTCTTTCATATTCAGGATGAGAGGAAGCTCTCTCTCCTCAGATAAGCTAACACAAGAGTACCAACCAAGCCATATTTGCAAGTATCATGGGATGACTAAAACAATACACAAAGTTAGAAAACTAGGATGTTAGCTGTGTTGCTACTGTTAAAAAATAGGCCACAAATGTATCTATAATACGATTAAAACCAAATAAGTTTTAAACTTTCCTATTGTTTTTAGGTTTGCTGTGATTTTAGTAGGATATGTGGATACTTCTTCCCTGCTTACTATATGTCCAGGAAACTCAACATCGGTCCACAATAGAAAAACATCACTCCAATTTCAAACAAGATTATAAAATATGCTTAGATTTTCATCTGTAGCCTAAAACATGTAACCAAATACCAAAATAATATAGACATAAGTTATGCATCATTTCCACTGTGAACCATGTTTTGCTGTCCCTTAATATAAAAACACATTCACAAACTTATGGGAGAAATAATGTAATTACTTGAAAATAATACTTTTTATTCATATAATGTAAAATCTAACTAGGTGAAAGCATATAAAAAATTGAAATATGAAACTTCTTAACACATTAGTTTTATATTTCACCATGTTAAACATTCAGGTTTGGAAATAAAATCTTATATTTTATAACAAAATGATATCTACTGTTATGTAAATGTGGCAAGTGGCTTCAGGAAATTTTAAGTTTATATAAAGTGGATAATAACAGTGAAGAATTGGCAGTAAACTGATCTGTCTTCTTATTTGTTTAAAATTTGCAAGTTTTGGATGTGACTGAAAGAATATACAAATTGAGAAACTTGGTATGTCAGCTGTGAAGTAAAAGAACTAAAATGTATTTTTTAATTGTTCATAAATAGCAGGTTAGTGATATGACTAGAAAGTTACATATAAATGAGATAATTCAATAGATGTTTTCTTTGAAAATGAAAGACTATGTTGTGATTAAAACATAATTCACACAATTTTTCAACAAGAAAATATTTATATATTGTAAAATACAACATTAAAACTTAAATACTTATAGAATAACTTTAAAATATCTTTAAACATTGAAGAGGAAAAACAAGAGTAACAAGTAATGATTATATATTTCACGTATATATAATATTAGAATAAATATGTGTGTAGAGTTTCATAAAAAACTTGAGAGAATAATTGACATATCAACTTTAAAATATCTTTGAACACTGAAAATAAAGAATAACAGTAACATAAGTAGAGTAATTAATATATCAACTATTTTCACTACTTTTATATAATTCTTTACCCTTAAGAAAAACATTGTCTTTAAAAATTCTATAGTTGATTAAAAAAACTGGAAAATTAAATTCATTTTTTTTCCTGAAGGATCTTAAATTCTAATTTATTCTGAAACTATATGAACCCCTGAGTTTTATTACATAAAAGAATACATCTAAATAAAAAAACATGAAATCTGCAAATACGTTTACCAAAACTGCTGTTGTATAATCAAATAAATACAACTCAAATATATTTTTAACAATAATGAATACAAAAGAGGCAGTATTTTATGTCATTGTACATCATACCTGTTACAAATTTAATCTATAAGGTAAAAAAACAACAACACAGGATACATTCCAATTAATTAAATCCTCCTCTTGGAAATTCAACCTTAGCTGTTAAAAAAATGAAATCTCAAGTATAAGATGTATTCAAAATTGTAGGAACAAAAAAATTAATTTTTTTTAAAGAGAACCATATGTTACATAATTGTTAATTCAGTACAAACCACTGTCTTTGAATATAAAAAAAACTACACCTGTAAGACATCTGTACAGATGTGCCACATAAACAGAACACTGCATTAGCAAGCTTAACTTGTTTAAGTCCTGTTTCTCATTCACTTGTTCAGTAACACAGTACTGTATAAACTGTGACCACATTCAGATAGTTTTATTTTTATAATAATATTATCTAGGACTTGACATAAATATTTTTGGGGAAAAATTATTAATACTTGTTGATCAAATAACAAATTGTTTTAGGAATATTTGAGATAAACAAGAATTAATTATGATCTTACAGTGTAAACATTGTTTAAGATAGAACCATCTGCTTATCTATAAAACTAACATAATTTATAACAAAAAGAGTTAGAAGAAATCTTCAAAAGGCTCACATAACAATGAGTAGTTATAGTAATGTTGATAGCTTAAAAGTACAACTTCTAGCACCTGAACTCTGATCCAGTTACATCAACTACATACTTCTCAAGTATGATGACAAGCAGTCACTTTCCTCAAGAATCTGAACAACAGAAGCTACTTTGGTGAGGAAAATCAATAAAGTTGAATGATAAATATATCTCCATAAGGAAATTCCTGTTTCAGGTGAACAACTCCAATCTTGTGAAATTCTGTTGCAAACAAAACAAAAACAAACTTAAAGATCATAAAGACGACAATTTAAATTCCACATGAAACTTCATTCACATTTTTCATATATTTATTTCTAAATACAATACAATAAGTACAGCTCAATACAACACCTTTAAGCCATCATTTTGAGATTTGGGCCGAATGAGCGGGAATTCTATTGTGTATGAAAACACTGCCTTGTCTGCTAAGCTTGTCAATGATGTAGACAGTCAGTTGTATTGTCAAAATCTCATGACTGGTCTTTTGTATCACTTTCAAAACATTTTGGATAGTCTTAAGTTGCAATCATAATCAACTAACTTGAAGTTATACACTATGAACTAGCTAAAAACAACAAAACAGGAAAGATGTGGTATTCTGATTGCCAATAGAAAATTCTAAGTACCTACAATACACAGCAGATTTTTAGGAAAAGTTAATAGGGAATAAAATAAAATACAGACAGCAAATGATCAAAACTCAAGCTTAAGTGAAAGAATAAACAAAAATTTTTTCTCCAAACAAATTACAGAAATATATTACTGGAGCTTTGCTGGAACTGGCCAGCTTCAATATTCAAAAAGCAGAATTTTCACTGCACTTGTGGTTTTTCATTACTACTGCTGCAAAGGCCTGGACTACTGCATGATATATATAGGATCAATTATTTTTGCTGTCACCACAGTATATATATATATATCAATATGTACAATCTCTCACTTCATGTTGAGAAGTTGCACAACTTTCAGGTGCTTCAGCAACAAAGATTATAAGTTATTCTCCATGTAACTCTTGCTACTCTGATAGATCAAGCGAGTGATTCTTGTGAGACATACCCATTTTTTTGCCTTAGAAAAATCACTTGGTAGTTTGGAAAGCAAGGGTAGCAAACCCCTTTCAACTGTGTTTTCAAAATCTTAACTCTGATTTCCAGTTATGCAAACTGTCAATGCATTAGGTATTACATCTACTGGCACACATCATCTTAGCTTCTTAAAAATCACAAAATGTAGAGGATACATTTTATAGTGAATATCACTCAATAGCTTGGGAAGCAAGGGCTGCCACTTCCTTTCATTCATAATTAAGACACTCTACCTAAAGATTGTCATAGTTGTGGATAATTGAGTAGCTGTCACAAAGTGTAATCCATCCACTCTGCAAGATGACACTAGATGATAACTAAGAAAACAGGGAACACTATTTCTTTTCAATCACTGGTTGCTCTAACAAATGATTGTATCAGCATTTGGCTTTAATCCCAATTATGTTGGTAGGTAGTTGTTCTTGGCTGTTCCATGAACTGTCAGAGTTGATTATTGTCTCCAGTTCTCCCATTTCCTCCTCCAGTTTATCACAAACAGCAAGATAAGTACTGTCAGCTCTTCTCTTCTCATCCTCAGGGTAATATAAGATAGTGCTTTCATCATCATCCAACTCAAATACCTCCTCTTCTGACTTCTGGTCAAACCAATTCACTTAAGCTTCATAAGTCATGTAAGGATGCAGCAGATCAACATGGGTAACAAGCTTGCACACATTTTGACTGCTGTATCTCATATGTCAAAAAAAAAAACTTGTATGTTCTCAAGATGATGTTGGTCCAGCTTAAAACAAGAGGTTTCCATACTACATATACATACAAAAGCCATACTCATTCTTAACTTTGATATATCCAGTTCCTTCACTGTCTTAACATAGCATTTTTTCTGATGTACTACAGATTTCCTAGCTGTTGATGTGCAAAAACATTCAACTTACACAGACCTTAACAACCTGCTGATCACTGTTCAGTTACACAACATCCCATCATGAAATAAAATATATATTCCTCCCAGTCATTTTGGTATGGGTTAACAAACTTAACAAGCATGCATTGACAGTTTGTATAACCCTTTCCACTAACTCAAGAGGTTGGAGGTGATAGAGTAAACTTTATGTCTTTACTACACTGAACACTTTACACAACTCTGAGAACAGTTGGCTGTTGAAGTTTGTTTTCTAATTTGAGTGGATCTCTTCAGGTGTTCCAAAACAGGCTATTCAGTGGTCAAACAGAATATCAAACTTTGAATGTATTGACCAATGGATAAGCCATGGCCCACATTGTGAAGTAGTTGACAATGAATACATATAACTGACCTTCTATCTCTGAAGGTGTAATCAGATTTCCAGTGCTATACTCTGGAGAGGAAAACCAACAATTCTTTTCTGGAATTTACCCTGTTTATGTTGACTTTTACCTTTAGATGGCAGACAATGTACAATATTCAAACCAACACTAAATTTGAATGTTTAAAGTCAAATCCAGCCAGAAGAACGACTACAAAACATTAGCAGAAGTGCGAATAACACCTTGATGCTTTCCAGTCTTTGTGTTATGCACAATTTGGAAAAACTCGTGCCTCATAGCTCTGGCAACTGCAAGCTGTAACAAAAGCTGAGAACCACTGCTTGGCAGCACAGCAAACCTTCTTGCACTTGTCACTGAGCATACAAGTAACATAGGGTATGTGAATCCTTGCTATGTTCCTAAGTCTGAGTCAGATGCATTTTACCTTCCTACATGACAAGGAGCAGACATGCTAGGCCTGGTCCCTTCAGTTAAACATGACATCCATCCACTAGTGCGATTTCTCTAATGTATGCACTGTAGTTAATGCCCAATTGGTCTTAAGTACCAGTGTCCAGAATCTGGACAGTCAGCAAATGGACATAGTCTCACTGTCTGGCATAACAATGCCTCTTCATTTCTATTGCAGGCTCAGGCAGTAATGTATGATTAAATCATACTCCTGCAATGTCATTGGTTAGCAAGCTATCATCTGTTCTGGATTGTAAAAGTTCAACCATTTTACTGATGCATGGTCTACTGGAACAGTGAATTCCCTACCATCCAAGTGGTGTTTGTTTTACAAAGACAACAATGGCAAGCTATTTTTTTGTCATGCAGTATCTGCATCCACAAACTGTAAGCATACAACCTGCATACACTATTACACATTCTATCTTGTAATTGAAATAACAATGGTCTGATTCCATTATTGCTAGCATTGGTGTCTAGCAGAAATTTACAATCCTGTTAAAGATGTGCCAACACCAGAGCTTTTACTAAAGCACATATAACGGTTTGTTTGTTATGGATTTTGTGCAAAGCTACACGAGGGCCATCTGCACTAGCCGTCCCCAATTTAGCAGTGTAAGACTAGAGGGAAGGCAGCTAGTCATCACC